TGCAATCCTCTCTCCTCAGCAGGCTTACCTCTGCGCCTGTATCCTGCTGGAACTCAATCTCGACCCCCTTCACGAGGGCCCTTACCGAAAATTTCGATCGTCTCTCGACTCTCCAGTCACGGTTCCCGTGACCCGTGACTCCAGCGTCATGTCCTCTGCCGGCTCATGCCGATATTTCGAGCCCCCTTGACCCTCACTCTGCACTACCTTCTCGACTGCGGCCACTGGCATGCCGACGTCCTCTCCTGGCGCCGGCTGGCTCTTCTTTTTCTTGTCGGCGCTCAGTTCCTTGTTTACGAATTTTTGCACCGTCTTCAGGTAGTCGGTTCTGGTTCTAGCTCCACGGACATTCAGCATCGCTTTGCCTTCTCCGACCTCCATGAACGTCTTCAATCCTGAGTCCTCGTCTGTAAGGTAGTGCCTCGGGCACATCCTTGCCCAGTGCCCTTTCCGGCCGCACTTGGCGCACCTGTCATTGCCGTGGGGGCAGTCTTTCTTGCGGTGGCTCCTCATGCCACAGCTACCACACTTGTTGAAGCGCGCCCCGTCATCCGACGTATCCGAGTCAGACTCTTGTCTCTCGTGGGCCACTTCATCGCAGCGAAGACCGGTCTCGCTCTCTCCGAGAGCGGCGCGAGCTTATGGAGCACCTCCATCACCGTTCCATCGCCCTTCCTGCACTCGAAGTGGAACTCTTTCGCCCACCTGTTGCCGCCGCGCTCAGGATGGACTGTTGCAGCAGCATCCCCGGAATCGTGATCCTTGTGCCGTAACGGACCTGCAGCCTCGTCAGGCGGTGCAGCCGTGTCGGCAGCAAGTCGTGGAGGGTTGGCACCTCTTCCGGCGCCGGGTAGACGCAGGACCTGAAGCACCGGCTCAGCAGAGTACTGTCCGGGTACAGGGACCTTGCTACGTCCAACAGAAATCTTTCTGCTACCACTCCGGGGCCTCTCCTACACTCATTCAAACGCGCCCTGACGGTGACTGGCATCCAAGCCCACAGAGCTACCAGCGTTTCGTCGTGGACTGACACACGGGTAGACGCCGAAGCGCGGACCCGACAGGGCCGGTCGCAGGGGTGTGCTGAGCCGTCAGGGTGTGGATCGCCTTCGGTATATTATTTCTGTATGGCGTGAACCCTCCACAGCCTACACACCATTCAGCCCTCGGGTCGCAGCCGGCTCAGTCACCATTACCCTGGTCCCCCATTTTGTCTCAGGTTGAATTTTTTTTTTTTGTATGAAGTTGAATGGTGATGAGAAGCCCACGGTCGATCCAGTTTGGCTACGGCAAGGGGAGCTCGGTGTTGGCTGTGGTCGTGGGTCGACCCGTCGATGGGAGGGTATCCGACGACGAAACCACAGCCGGACTTCTCGAAGTTTCATCCGCGTCCGAGTCCGAGAGGTGGGATGAAGGAGAGAAGTTGCGGATGGTGATCGTCGAGGATCTGAGCCTTCCGGAGGATCCCTCAGGCGGTTGTGTCATCTCCTCTGACGACAGCGATCAAGTAAAGAAGCTCCCGAATTTGATAATCGAAGACGCGAGGCCCCACACCGACACCGAGGGGGAGCAACTGGCGCGGCCAACTGCCAGCTTTTGGCGAAGGCCCTGGTTCGCTACGAGCGTGGGAGGTGCCGCAGGCACTGCGTTAGTGACATACTTGATCTTATTGCTCCAAGCTGGAGACCGCCCCGGTGACGATGTGGTGTCGGCCTCCTCCTCTGTGTCTGAGGTCACCACCTATCACTCTACCCCAGCCGCACACAGCTATTCCCTGTCAGACCTTACGACGGTCAAGCCTACTCCGTCAGACCTTACGACGGTCGAGCCTACTCCCTACCGTCGCGTCTGGTACAGCTCATCCCTGTCGCCCGATGTTGTCACGGACCTCAGCGAGATCGGCAAAATTTCTGAGAC